ACAGACGACGGTCGTCGACGAAGGCAGACGACGGTCGTCGACGAGACAACAGACGGCCGCCGACGTAACAGGAGACGGTCGCCGACGAAGGCAGACGGCGGCCGCCGACGAAGGCAGACGACGGTCGTCGACGTAGACAGACGACGGTCGTCGACGAAGACAGACGACAGTCGTCGACGAAGACAGACGACGGTCGTCGACGAAGACAGACGACGGTCGTCGACGAAGACAGACGAGGTAGACAACGGCCGCCGACGAAGGCAGACGACGGCCGCCGACGATCGTCGACGCAGGAGACGGTCGCCGATGAAGCGGCGACAACTGTCGACGAAGCGGGCGACGGTACGGTCGTCGACGAAGACAGACGACAGCCGTCGACGAAGACAGACGACAGCCGTCGACGAAGACAGACGACGGTCGTCGACGAAGACAGACGACGGTCGTCGACGAAGACAGACGACGGTCGTCGACGAAGACAGACGACGGTCGTCGACGAGACAGCAGACGGCCGCCGACGTAACAGGAGACGGTCGTCGACGAAGCGGCCGACGATCGCCGACGAGACAGACGACGGCCGCCGACGAGACAGACGACGGTCGCCGAGGCAGACGGCGGTCGCCGACGAAGGCAGACGACAGTCGTCGACGAAGACAGACGACGGTCGTCTGCAAACAACAACAACAAAAAGGTGCTGATGAAACCGCAAGTCCTTTGAAAATGTCATTCCCAGATGAGCGTGGTTTTCGTGAATGGGTATTATGTCGTCCCCAAATGTAAGAGCAGGTGGTGTGTTTTGTGGGCTGCGTGAAAATGTCTGTTGTATTGTTTTGCTTACGTTAAAAGTAATCGCCCATTCTTTACCGTATTTTTGTATTTCATTGAGATCATTTTGTAATGACGTCTGTGTTGTGTTCAAATTTTGTTTTGTATGGGATGCATAAAGCGATACGTCGTCTGCGAAAAATAAAATGTCGTTTTGTGTTCTAGTAGAGAGGTTATCGAGGTAAATGAGGGCTAAAAGAGGACCCAAAACCGAACCCTGTGGGCATCCGGCGTTGATAATTTCTGTTTTTGAAAAGGTATCGCCGATCTGAACTCGCTGTCGTCTATCAGACAAGTAAGATTTTAGCCAGTCGTAAAGTGAGTCAGTGATGCCAAATTCATGTCTACATTTGTACAAAAGTCCCTCGTGCCAAATTTTGTCAAAGTATTTTGAAATGTCCAGGTAAATAGCAGTAAAATCGCTTTCTGAGTCCAATGCTTTGTATAAATTATGTGTCAAGTATAATAATTGTTGTTCTGCGCTATGGCCTCGCCGATACCCACTCTGTTTATCTGTCAAGAGGTTATGGTGGGAAAGATGTGCATATATGTGTTTGTGGACTATTTTTTCAAAAACTTTGGACAACGAAGAAAGAAGACTTATGGGGCGGTAGTTTGTGGGCTCAGATGGGGAGCCTTTGTTTTTAAATATTGGTTTGATGTTGGCCTCTTTGAATTTGGAAGGGTAAATGCCTAGCGCTAGTGATTTGTTGAATAGTTTCGACAAAGGGGATGCAATTAAGATGGCAGTTAATTTTAAAAGTTTCACAGGGATGTTGTCTGGGCCGGTAGATTTGTTTGCGTCTAGGGAATTTAGAATTTGCAGAACTTCTCTTTCAGATGTGATAATTTTGTCCAGAGTGGGTACCGGCGAAGTGTCTGTTCTTCGAATAGCTGTCTGTAGTAATTTCGAATAGTTCTGTAGTAATTTCGCAGGCTTCCAAAGTGGCGGCCATGCTTGTAGTGGTGGTTCGCTCATGAAAATGACTCGCTCATGAAAAAATATTTTTCACCGAGTTCGGTCCTCAAACTATGTTTTTCTGATTCAGAAAAATAAGAAATGCTAGTAAAAAAAAAATCAGCTCCATACATTGATTTTTTTTTCGATGATACTGTCCCTTTAAGGCATTTCTCAATGTTGTGAGTGCCGAAACCGGCAATTGTGATTTGTGAGCCAGGGACCCCATTTTGGCTATCTCAACTCAAATCTAATGTTAAGGTGGGAGGGTCCCTTTAAAAGCTCTGACTTACGAATTATTTATCGGTTGAAGACTCAGGACCAATATAAGGACGGTCAAGTGTGTGTGACATTGCTAAGCTTTACTCACACTTTACACAGAGGTGAGTGAATATGTGCATGTTCAAGATCGTGCAGTTCAGGCGCACCGTCATTTAACAATTGTCAGACGATTCTTGAGCTCAGTGTTGCGTGACCGGTCCCAGGCGCTCCTTTCGATACTGCCATTGCTGCATTTGTTGTCGAGATTATCCAGTCATTTCCTGCGGGTCGGTGACCCTGGAGTTCCGAATTCGGCACGGGGCAGTTACGGTCCGGTCGAGAATCGAAACGGGTTATCTGGTGAATTCGGCCTCCGATGGTCCATGATTCGACTTCGGACTTGTCATCGTTGTGTTAGTTTATTGTTTTATAAGACCGTAAGTATACCTGCCATTCTGATTACGAAAACCTAATGATAACCTTGTGCTCATCGTCTAAAAATGGCCGGAAAACAAAACGTTTTGTTTTAGAAATTGTGTTTTGCTTTTGGAAAGCAACAACAATATTGGATTTTGTTATTCGGCCGTTTTTATGCATTAGCACATGGTCATCATTCATACCTACTTTAAGTCATAATTAAATAGCAATCCCAAAATAACGTTTCAAACCAGCAAAACTGTAGAACACCATCCTACCAATTACGTTTTTAAGTCATGACGTTATTAGGTATTGTGCGTACCTTAAACAGATTGTGTGTATAACCGATCAACCGTCAACCGATCAAATATTGTTATCTATGGTCGATACTCGATAGTCAGTGCGGTTGCCATGGGCTGGATGAGGTGTAAGCATAAAGCAGCACTGGAGCACAGGCCGGGCCTGATAAACGATGTGAGGACACCCGGCAGAGTTTTACACGTGACTCGCGAGAGGTGCCGCCGTCTCGCGCATTTCTCGCGCTGCCGGCGTCCGGGCGGTGACACAATTTCGGGCATTGTGCCGAGAGTAATGGGGCCCAGCACACCACGGGAGACCTGCCGCCGGCCCGGAGGGTCGGAGTTAAATGGTCGGGACGCGGAATGGTCAGCGAAGCTAGAAACAGACAAAACGATCTCCATCAGCCTCCTCAGCCGTGACCCCGCCTGGCGGTGGACCCAGTTCGGTTTGTGTCCTGCTGAGCCAGGCGAAAGGCCGCCGAACCGGTCGGTGAGTGAAAACCTCCACAGGGCCGCCGAGGTGCGACATGCTGCTCCACGCACTGCTGACCCAATGACCTGGCCTCCCGCCGCGCAGTCACATAACTTCAGGTGGTTCACTGCCGCACAGTCATGTGACTGGTGGTCACTCGGCTGAGACGTTGTCATTACATCTATCTCACCGGATTTAGTGGCCGAACTGCATATGGCCGTGTCTGATGGCGATGTCATCCAGCGGTAAAATATTCACGGAGTATTGGAACCAATAGGTAAGTGTATGCAGAATAATGTAGGTGTTCACTGGCCATTACCGATGCGTAGAGTGATTGAGAATCGCATTGATATGCCCGATAGGTAGGTAGTTATGTATAGCGCACCAAGCCTCTATAAGAGTGATTAAACGGATAGTGGCAGGGTGCATTTATGAGAATGCTCTCATCTATGAAGGCAACTTGTGTCAATTAACTTTTAAGTCATCGAATCTAAATGTTATGTTAATTTCAAATACAGAACAGGCGTTAAACGCGGCAACCTACGAAATATGTTTGAGGCACCTACCGGTTTGATATCCTGGCTCTATTCTTTTGTGCTTAAGTCGTTCTCTCTCTCGTTAAACCACATCTCGCTTTCAAGCACACCTCGTCCGGGACGTGGCACCTCTCGGCTATCACTATTGCATGCAGACTCGGCAATTTCTAACTGTAATAGTCGGTCTGTGAATCCGCGCCCTCTCAGCTCATCATCCTTTGTACTCACGCCGTGCATCTCAATCATCGCTAAACGGTGGGACATTAACCAACAGACCTACTGCCCACGGCCACGGCTGGGTTTCACTCGGAGTCGGATGGTGCAGTGATATGGAAAGGAACGCGCGTTCCGGGACTCGGGGGTGTTAAACCATTTGCAGACAATGATATGGGCTTGGAGGGCTAGTGCACGTCCCGCAGAACGTACACTACCCAGCACAATAACCATAGCCGAGATCTGCCCTGGCTGCAGGTCTGCAGCTCATGAGCTGAACTCAACTATGGTAATTGAGACTTTGGGGCGAGTCGCCTCCGTAATTCACACACATTGAACGACCGCCGGGGATTCATTGGCACGGAGCAGCTCAGCTTACGATATTTCTTATTGGATGCAGGCGCCCGTGCCTACCGCCTACCGCAGCCATTGAAAGAAATTGGTTAGCGTACGGGTGCTTTCGCCTTTTGGTTTTCTCATGATTAAAAACCGTTTAAGGTGGCCAACATCTTAAACGGTCGGACGCCACCGAGCTGTGACGAATTTGCAATGCTTGAACTCAACTCTAGAGTAAACAACTAGCGGGGCAGGTCATAATATACGTCAGGACGAACAGGACCAAATAGCGGCGGTGGGAGGGAACGATTCATTCTTCGTCGTCTGCACACCCCTTAACCGCTTCTGTGTTCTCCTGTGTTTACTAACATATATGGAACTGAACTGAACTGAACGAGTATGTGATGCACTGCAAGTACCTATTCAACAAATAATGAAAAAAATGAGTTGGTTCCGACATTGGTAATGTACCAAACCACTGAAATGCTAGTTAATGGTTTAAAGAGACACTTCCTATAAAAACGGTGATTTGGTTAAACGGCTCTGGGAATAACTGCGCTCGAGCTCGTGCCACGTTTGAAATTTGAATGGTGATGTCTTTCGGTGAACAGTGCCTTGCTGGGCTTCATTCTTAGATTAGGTGCAGACAGTGTGCACTATGCAGTTGCAGTGCCTCTCTGACGTACCTGTGAGAGCCATGTCCGGTCCGTATTCTCGGGGCAGCTGAGGGGAGAGGCGGCGGCCGGCACGGCGCGCGGCGCGGTGCTCACGGACGCGGGCTGCGGCGGCGACTGGCGCGAGGCTGACGAGAGTAGCGCGGCAACTGGCGCGTGGCTGACCAGAGTGGCGCGGAGCCGGCGGAGCGGCGCTAACGGTGTCACCGACAGCCTGTCCACTGTCACCTGCGGCCTGTCCATGCTGTCATCGACAGCCTGTCCAGTGTCACGGCCTGTCCACTGTCACCTGCGACCTGCCCACTGTCACCTGCGGCCTGTCCACTGTCATCCGCGACCTATCCACTGTCACCTGCGGCCTGTCCAATGTCACCGACAGCCTGTCCACTATCACATGCGGCCTGTTCACTGTCACCCGCGACCTGTCCACTGTCACATGCGGCCTGCCTTCTGTCACCGACAGCCTGTTCACTGTCACCCGCGACCTGTCCACTGTCACCGACAGCCTGTTCACTGTCACGGCCTGTCCACTGTCACCTGCGACCTGCCCACTGTCACCTGCGGCCTCTCCACTGTCATCGCGACTGTCACCTGCCGCCACTGTGCAGACGAACGGCGAGAAGGACAAACGGACGTCTGAACAGACTATACTGGGGTCTAAACGGACAGTCGGGGCGGGGTCATAAACGGCCTCGGAGTCCCTTCGATAACGGACCACTTGTCTCCTCTCTGTAAAAAAGGTCTTTCGTCTCTTCGATTTGTTGCACTGTTCTTATAGGGCTTTTACAAGTTTCCTTGTACATATGTTTTTGGTGTAGGGGAAGGTGGGGTAAGACGGCCCAGCGGGGCAAGACGGACCACCAGCCCTCCCGGCTGAACCGCTGCTGGTATCTACTGCTTTATACACTCACTATGTTTGTATTCCTTCGTAACAATGGCCACCTTGAGCTCATGCTGCTAGGATGCATAGCTTTTGAGTTACTGAGAAAAATGTTGTTTTTCGTCAAACCGATCTAATATAAGAGGTCTACGGGTGATTCAATTACGGCGCCTTTCTTGCATGATTGGTTTCTATTTTGCACTTAACTGTGAAGAACAAAGTTATAAACTTAGTTATAGTCACACTTTAAGAAAGGCAAGGTTTTGCAATGTTGGGCTATTTGACATATACGTCATGATAATGACAGAATTTAGATTTGGGGCAAGACGGACCACTGTGGTCCATCTTACTCTGTGGTGGTCCATTGTACCCTGCATATGGAAAGTTCTTTTCCAAAACATTGACACAAGTTTAAGTAAGCTAATTTTTCAGGAAGGAGTCTTTGTTGCATGTGAGCCATGCATGCAAGTGCTCAGTTAGCATGCATTCATGTCAAACGACAATCAACACACATGTTCCCAGCTTTTAGCTGCACTTCCATCACACATGAGTAAAGAATAAAGGCTCATTTTGTTATTTTACCATTCTGGTTACTTTTTCTTACAAAGAGTACAGAGCAGAAGTGTAACACACATGAACGGATAGCAGGCACTGCTGGGTGGTCCGTCTTACCCCACGTTTTTTCTTGTCTGAGTTTTTGACATGTCCCTCTTTAAGAGCATCCACCACCTAGATGTCTTTAATTTGAAATTTAGTCTTTACACATATCAACAGAGGAAGGATTGAGCATTCCGAAGACTATAAATAATATGAATTACGAGAGCAGTGTAGCAAGATATGCGGCCTCAAACCTTAGCTGGTCCGTCTTACCCCACCTTCCCCTATGGACCTCCGGTTGGGAGCGGGTCCCAGAACGACCTCAATTTTCCATGTGCCGAGAGGCGGCAGAGGGTATCAAGTCTTCGTAGTTGTTTGTACTGATGTCACTGCGGTCTGCGACACTGGTGAGTTGGTGACATCACATGTACTGGTGGGTGACGCTGCGATCTGCTGGCTGACGTCACCGGGCGGGCGCCGGGACATTGACCTGACCTAGTGCACAGCGGTCATTACCGGACCTGCAGACACAGGGGCAGAGCGGTCCGCCCGATTCGGTAACCGATTGATGAATGATAATGGTAATTTGGCTGGTGCGGAGACAAAGAACAGTTATATAAATGTTGCAGCATCATTTTTATGGCCTATGGGGACCGGTTAACAATTCTTGTTCCCAGTTCTTGGCCCCAGTTCTTGTGAGAGCTTTCCTTCAATGTTTGTCGTAGCAAAGGCGAATGTTTAATTGTCAAGTCACTCTCATCCCAGTTTCCGCTTTGGTTGCCTCCTTTTCATCGGTGTTTCTCTCGGTCACAATGTCTCAAACTGTCAGTAGGTACTTGTAGGCATGCATGAGCCCATTTATTCATACATGTAGGTATGTGTGTGTTGTTTATTTGTGTCCTTGTACCTATCAAACATGTATGTACATTGAGCATGTTTGCTGTGCCCGGTCGGGTCCCCTCCCGGCTGTCCGTCTACATCCATGCTTCGTCGCTGATGTACGATCCCAGGAGCCGGAGAGCGGCCATCCCGGCGTGCCGCAGCCGTCGACAGATGGTGCGCCGCTTCCGCCCAGCTGGTGCGCCACGATCGGCGCCGTTCAACGTCAGGTGACGGCCGCAGGAACAGGAAGACGCAGAGGTGACAAAACGAGTCGACGCCGACGGCTCCGACGGTAATTTGCTCCGACGCCGACGGCAACGGAGGTAAGATAAACGTTCATTAATTGGTTTCATTAAGCAAAGACCGAATTCAGTATTTTATATCTGTAACATCCAACAACTTATCAGCAGCGACACCTCGGCATCCCATGTCACCGTCTAAATAGATTCAACGTCAGTTCTGTCGTCCGCTTCTGACATGCCTTCCTGTCGTGCTTCAGGGGCCTATACTCTCGCTGGTAAGGTGGCGAAGCATCGTATGGTAAATAGACCAGGAGCGCGACCAAGTCGAGAAACTCATTGTTCGACTTGCAATAGGCGGGAACCTGGATGCAAGCATTGAGTCACTCATGACTGACGTGTACCTAATATCGCCTACCGGTCATGTGAATCAATGCATAGTTACGACCCGCGTCACTGAGAATGAACGCCCAGAAGTCAGAACTTATTCAGACATTATTAAAAACATTGCATCGAGGCGCAAGCATTGTGTACAGGGTGTCCCAGAATTACCCGGACATTTTTTTTTCTATAGATAAACAATAGATCAGGATTATCTACAAAACATCAGTCTACTTTGCACCACTATCTTCGACAAAATTTTGGGATTTGGGGTCCTTCGCCAGAAAAAGATGCGAAAACTACGGGAAAAGCAGCGCAAATCACTACAATTCATCCCAAAAACATAACATATACAACAAAACAGTATAATGAGGCACACTTTGTGGTCTAACGAAGGTATTATGTCATTTGAACCGCCCGAAAAAGGCTTGTGTGAACGTCAGATGGCTACAACGCCCCAACAGCAGAGACGGCCAGGCACCCGTCGAAAATCAAATTGTGAGACATTTTGAGCCAACGTACATTCATTGGGCTTGATATGATGGCCCAAAGACAACCGTTAGCACAGAGTACTACTGCGGTAATATTCTACCAGTGCGAAAACTGGATGCCGTGAACCAAATGGCCATGAACGGGTTTGTTTTGGAAACCAAATCTGTTGGAAGCCAAAGGTTGCGCAATGTTCAGACATGGAGCTTCTCCACTCCAGATGTAAAAAAAAAAAAACGCAGCAAAAGTGGCGCAGGCAGAAATTTTTGTTTTGGGGGATAATACCTTATGGCCTGGGAACACTTTGATGTCAAATTTATCTTACATGATCGTATTATCCTCCGGCAAGAGGTCAAAGAAAACAGGCCTACACCCAGTTTCGGGAGACCCGTAAAACAACTGAGACCAGCAATGGCTGGCATTTTCCATCATTGTCGGCTGATCTTGTAACAAGCGTATCTATTGCATGTGCTATTTCACAGCCACCCTAGTTGACTATATAGGACGGTAAAAAGAAAAAAGCGCAATCATGTTTGCCTTATTTTATACGCTAATTAACAATGTCCGGGTAATTATGGGACACCCTGTACATTGACTTCGTCAGAAACTGGGTGTTAGTTCGTAGACAAGAAGTTAATAAAGCCAAGCAAAATAAGCGAACACCGTTTATTTACGCTCATTCACGTAAAATATCGTATATGCACAATTATTTTTGGAGTGTTGGGAAGCGAACCTATACGGTATTCTATGCAGTCATCCCCGCGGTATGAGCGCGAAGTGAGCCGTCAGTATCAAAGAGAAATGAACCAGTCAGTTTCGGAGCGAAGTGGAAGCAGCGTGAGCCGTATGTATGAGAGTAGGTAAGTTACCTACCTATAGTGAACCGTCTTTAATGAGAGCGAAATAAACTATAGGAGCTAAATCAAGTCACTGTGTGAGCGAAGTGAACCGTCAGTACCGGAGCGAAGCGAACCGTCTGTGTGGGAGCGAAGTGAGCCGTCAGTGTGGAAGCGCGGTGAACCTGTTGGTCCGGCGGGTAGCGTGGGTGGGTGTTGCAGCCCTCCCTCCCGGCATACACAGCTGAAGTCGGTGACCGCGCGGCCGACTGGTCAGACGGACTGGTCGGACCGACTGGTCGGCGCTGACCGAACCGACGGAACTGGTTCCGGCGGCGCTGGCGACCGGAAGTGCAGGGTCGCCAGGTCGGCCACACTGCGGCCTTCTGTGTCCGACTGGGCACAATGAGGCCGCGGGCCTTCTGTTTCTACCTGGAGCCGCCCGGGGGCCCCACTGTGACCTTCTGTGTCCGACTGGGCACAATGAGGCCGCGGGCCTTCTGTTTCTACCTGGAGCCGCCCGGGGGCCCCACCGTGACCTTCTGTGTCCGACTGGGCACAATGAGGCCGCGGGCCTTCTGTTTCTACCTGGAGCCGCCCGGGGGCCCCACCGTGACCTTCTGTGTCCGACTGGGCACAATGAGGCCGCGGGCCTTCTGTTTCTACCTGGAGCCGCCCGGGGGGCTCACCGTGACCTTCTGTGTCCGACTGGGCACAATGAGGCCGCGGGCCTTCTGTTTCTACCTGGAGCCGCCCGGGGGGCCCACCGTGACCTTCTGTGTCCGTTCCAATGCTCTCCTTCCGCCCTCCCTTTCCTAGTGCCCCCGGGCTGCAGCT